AGATTTTGACTTCCTTAGGAATCATTAATTTCTCGCTGGCACTAGATAATTTCCCAGAGGAATTGCCGATAGTATTTATAAACATATATTACGACGAAGATCAAGAAACAGAAGACGAAGAAGAATCGAAGCAAGCTATGGACATCACAGGCTCAGATGTACACGTCAAGGATTCGCCTAGTAAAGCAGATGTACAGCTCACCGGGGCAAATGAAACAATGAAAGACGATGAATATGAAGATGTCAACATCAGTGCATTGGTAGGACTGGATACCCCATTGGAAGATTTCAAGGCCGCCCTCGCCAGTGGAGGAGATATCGTATCTGAGGCTGTCGCGCAACTATCGGATGTCATCAAACAACTTGCCCTTGCCAAGCATTTCCCTAACAGGCGGAAAAACGAACTATTGGAGGCAATGAAATTCCTGAGAGAGACATGTTTGATGGTATGTTCATAAGTCAATTGGCCGCGGTATCTCACAAATCTATACATTACCTTAGGAGGACGAAATTGTGGCTTGGAACGAGTAACTAGATTCTCTTTTAATTCAGTCATGGCACTAAACCAAAATTATAGATTTATACGTGAATTAAAGCAGGCCTGCCTATCAACCACCGAGCCTGGTAATAAACCGTTCTGGGAAGCTGTCAAGAAGTTGGGTAATGCAATGACCCTTATTGGAAAATCAGAAGCCACTAAAGCTGTAAGTATCAAGTGTTTGAGCCACACTCACGTCTTGATGCATTTATTATAGGGAGCAAGTGCCAAATACGCCGTAAAAAATGAAGCTGCTTCGCGCGTGAGTAATGATAGCCTCCGACGAGACACTATCTGATCCTTATTAGTTCTTCAATGACTAAAGATCTTCGTTGTAATATATGTTTATAAATAATATCGCTATCTAACAGGAACTATATAATTGTGAATCGGTGTCGCACCTTTCTTGGAGGTAGCGCAATATTTGAATGGCTATTGAGGTCCCCAGTTCAATCCGGAAGGAGCGCTTACCTCCCAAGCAAGTGTAAGGTCCACAGACTGGCCATTTGAAATTTCGCAGATCCACTCCAACATTCCTTCTCTCGCTCCATCCGCCCCCACAAGGGCGCTAGTACTCTCGGATGGGTCAGCAGCCAGCTCATCTTCATCTGCAACTTTCCACCTGACGCTGACACCTTTCGAGATTTTGACTTCCTTAGGAATCATTAATTTCTCGCTGGCACTAGATAATTTCCCAGAGGAATTGCCGATAGTATTT